ACTGAAATTTGGGCACAGCGATAGAAAGAAGGCTTTCACATACAACTCTGTTTCCTTTTTCTGTAATAAAGAGCCGTTTAAAAGAATTGGATCATTTGTGAATGTAACACCAGTACAGGGGACAGGGGTGATTCTGGGAACTCTGGGGGCCTCAGGCAAAAAAAAAAAAACACCATGGGGATGTTATTCAATAACATCCTCCCCCAACATAATAAAATTGCCATTATTGTACCATGAAATCTACATTAATGATACCAACAAAATAATTTAATAAACAAAAGTCTTTAATTTTCACTGTTTTGAAAAACAGAATACACAATTAAAGCAGATTTATTGTTGCAGCAAGTTATATATAATCGGCTACCCTCAGGAGCCCCCCCCAGCTCTTTTTGTGTGGACTTCCAGTGTCTGAAGGCTGTGACCCGCAAGGACTCATACCCGCTGCCCTGGATCAATGACATGTTGATCCAGGGCACATTGCTGAGTTGACATGGTTCAGCTCCTTAAACCTTTCAAGTCAAGCTGGCTCCAGATGCCTGACTCAAAATTGCTTTTGCCATTGGTCAGGGTCTGTGGCACTTCTAGTCCATACTAGTTCCAGTGTCTCCTGTTTCACATTGTCCTTGTGTACTGCTGTCTTAGAAATTTTGAACCAGGAAGCAACCTGCTGCTTAGCGTAGCCTTCTGCCAGCAGAACCATGATTAAGATCCAGGATTTAAAAATGCAGATTTGTTTAAAAATGTACAGAGGTCTCATTTTTTTTTTGCAACTGTACAAATAAATTATCTCTTTGGTGAATCGTACCTGTCCTACATTTGTAATCAGCTAATTGAGTCTGGTCCATGTGGTCTTGCTTGGAACTGGTGGTAGTTGGCTGTAAATCCTATTTAACCAGACCAGTGAGCGTTGCTTGCTGCCCTGTTACCGTCAGTGCTTCCTGAGGGTACCATTGCTATTCTGCGTGCCAGCTTCTTGTTCCTGGGTTCATGGTCTCGCTGTAGTTGGTGTCTCGGGCAGTTGGTACCTCGCCTTCGGCCTTGGTCATGGTTATTCTCTTTTTCTGTTTTAGCCTCACTTCCTGTTTCCTGGGTTCCACTTCCTGTTTCTGCTTGTCCAGTTCCCTGCACTTCAAGCTGCCTCTCTCTGCACCTCAAACTGGCCTCTTTTCCAGTCAGTGGCCCCAAGTTCCTTTGCTTACCTCTTTCCTACAGTGTGCTATCCTTAGGTTTGTCTAAAGGAGGAAAATATCTCAGACTAAACCACAACCACACCATCTGCAAGGCTCCTAGAAGTATTGTTCGCAGCTTGAGTTTACTCTTTACTAAATGAAGCTTTTATTACAGTTTGAAAGTAAGCAGGATTGTTCATGCAAGGCTTTTTCTTCTGCACCTCATCTTGTTCTATTTTCTACATTTTAGAATAATTATAAAGACATCAAAACTATAAAATAACACATATAGAATTATGCACTCTGTGGGTTGGGACTCAGAAGGTTGTTGGTTTAAATCCCATGGTCGGCAGAATGATCCCACCATCGGGGCCTTGAGTTTGGCCCTTAACCCCAATTGCTCCAGGAACTGGCTGACCCTACTTTGTCCTCTAGGCCATTTTGCATGGTGTGGCCTCCTGGGATGCTTTTCCAGCTGTCCTGAAGGAGGTCCCACATATATGCTGAGCTGTCATTGGCCGCTTTTCCTTCACACTCTGGTCAACCTTCTCTGAAACCATTTTTTACTGTGTTTATGTCAGTTGGCCAGGTCATGTGATGTGACATTCTATCACTCTCCTTTGTAGGCGTCTTGGCATGTCCAAACTTTTGACTGGTACTGTATGTTTGGGTTGCCTGTGTGCAGTACTTTAGAGAAAATTAATAAAATTTTCCACTGAGAAAACTGATAATTCCGAAGTGTGAAGAAATATCATCGATTCCAGCTGAATGTCTAGTATTGCTATCGATGTATTGCCAAGCCAGACAAATATGCAACAGCGAATTTAGACAGAGTACGATAAATATTCATGTATCACATTAAACATTTACATAACCCATCTCACTAAATGTTTACCTATTTATGTAGACCCAAGTGTTTTTATGTTCTTAATATGCATTACATAGAAAGGGCTTCACAGGTACACTAAAGTGCAAAGCCTCCTTCCTACTTGCATTCTGTGCTTTAGATGACCTGGAAGTGTTTGTATTGTTCTTCAAAGTCCTGATTATAAAATGTCAGTTTGTTAGGTGCCTAAATGAGAAATTCTCCTGGGAAGAGAGTATTGGTTAAGCTAACACTACTGGATGCACGATTCGCACTACTGTACAGTCTTTGCTTTATTGGTTCTGCAAAGAAGGTGTTGTTCTCATTATTATTGGTTTCAACTTCTTTTATTCTGAAAAACCAATAAACTTTCGCTCTCATGCGGCACGCGATTTGGCTTCGGTCACTGAGCTTGCGTGAGTGCTACGCCTGATTTAATCAATAGAGGGCGCCCGAGGCACACCTCAAACTTCTCTTTGAGTTCGTCAGTGGTCGTCACTAATATTTTAGATGTGGATTCTATTATTATAAGTCTTAGGAAATTTTTGATAGTTCTACATATCTTTATATTATATTAAATAAATTTAATCACCGTATAAAATTTAAAGGACTACAAAACGTTTCAGGAGTTCTAGATGTTTAAATATAACCACTTTAATTAGCAAACCATTAGCATGATTCAATTCAATATATATAAATTCTAGCACAGGGAATTTATAAACCATAAATATGTCATCCATAGAATATAATTAACATGCATTAAATTGCTTTGAGAACATGGGATCACACTGAGGATCTTATCCGGTCCCTGGAGCCTACAACCAATCACAGGCAGCCACAGCATACCTAGAAATTCTGGGCCCAATGACAAAATGTCACCTTGATCCCTCCTACCTAATTTTCGACATTTAAGGGTGTGGGTCCTCTGAATCGGGCGGGGTGCCCACGCCCCTGGACACCTCTGCAGGGAGCACAGGTCCTATGGCAGGGGGGACACTGTGTCCAGTTCAGCACAGGGTTTACACAGCAGCACAGTCGTGCACCAGAGGCAATGCAGAGATTCTGATCAGCCCAACTGCATATCTTTGGACTGTGGGAGGCAACCAGGTTACAGGTGCAGTAAACGAGTGTAACAGCACGAGCAAACTCCACACGCAGAGCAGAGGTGGGATTCAAACACAATCATACCACTTGCCGAGCCATCATATGCCCTGCTAAGTCACTACGTGTAAATTACTCGACTGTGTATGGTTAGACAGTCTGATTCTTGCATGGGTGGTCTGGCGCTACACTCCTATCTACTGGGCATTTCCTTCCAGCCCAGTTCCCACATCACAGGGCCTAACAATGCAGATCAGTTCTTCTGTTTTGAGGGCTTTTCACTGGGAACACAGAAACCAGTCAAGCAGCCGACGTTGTCAAACCCGAACGTGAAGTGTGGTCGCCATTTGAGATTGTTTTGTCATAACTGCCACCTGTTGATGTTAAAATAAGGAAAAGCAAATGTCAACATGTTTGTCACTTAACTGGCTTGATTTGCCACTGAAATAATTGATAACGATTTTAGAATTTAGAATTTAGTGATCAGTGGTCATTGTCAACACACCACAGCACACAGTGCGCAACAACGAAATGTGTCCTCTGCATTTGACCCATATGTGACTTTCGTGACATAGCAGGGGGCAGCTAATTCAGCGCCCAGGGAGCAGTGATTGGGGATGGTACCTTGCTCAGGGTACCTCAGGTATTATTGGTACACAGTGTCACACTGTGGCCCCTGTGTTCCCAAACCGCGATGTTGTGCTTATTTATGACTGAACACTGTAATTCTGCAGAGTGACACCAAAGCAGATGGGCTGAGATGTCTTATCTTCACAGGAATTCCAGCAATGAGCCCCTTTCACACCCAAAATGGCGTCAGCATGGGACAGGCATATGTTATTGTGCCTCCCCCCTCCCCCCCCCCCTCCCAAGGTGACATTCTGTCAGTGGGCCCAGAATTCTTTGATATGCCTCTCTGGCCCCCCACTAGGACCCCCCGGGTCCTAATGGTAGATTTTGGGGTCTATAGAGCACTGCCCCTCCCTGAATCCCAGGAGCCCAGGTCTCCATACTCCTCTGACACCCCCAGCTTTAAAGGATGAACATTGGAGATTATAATTAACTAAACAAAGTGTTAATTGGTAAACAAAGTTGAAAGGAGTAGTTAAAAGATTATATTATATACAGTTTATTGATTACTTTATTTACATATATTGATGTTATATCTACAATGTTTTTTTTATAACATTTGAGGATGTTTCCGAGAATCAGCCTTTTACTACTTTACGCAGGGCTAAGTGAAGTACAGTCGTCCCTCGTTTATCGCAGTTAATCCGTTCCAGACTCAACCGCGTTAAATGAATTTCCGCGAAGTAGAATTCTTTATTTCTTTAATATTCGGCTGCACCTGACATTGAAGGATTTGCTGGGGTGCTCGAATACATAGGTCTACAGTCCATACGTACAGTAATTTTAATTTTAATTGTAATACATAGCTGTATAATTGACTCAGACAACCAAGTGCGCGCTGTATCATTTTCACTGTCTATCAACTTTTTAATGAATAAATGTATTTGAAAAAACCGCAAAAGTCGAAGCGCTAAATGGCGAGGGACGACTGTATATGGTCTTATCAAACGCAGCGCGGAGATTACTTTGTGCATGATCGGTTAACAGCGAAACTCCGCAGATGAAAGATGTGCCGCTAAGCACGAAGACGCGGCACTGGAAGCCGGCGCGCCTTCAGCGACCCCCTGCAATCTACAGGCGTGAACGCACGGACACCGCGGGCATGTTTGAAGTTACCTCCTAAAGCGAGTCCCACCCAGCTCGGGGGAGGTCGCCTCTGATTGGCGCGTTGCTGTTCATTTGCATTGACGTCAGTAGAGGCTGTAGGTCAAGCCTTGCGGGGGCTTTTATTGGATCCGTGGCTGTCAAGCAGCGCCGAAGAATTGGAAGGGCAAACGCTGGCAAGGCAGGGAAGGACCAGCACAAGACGGCGTTTTGTAGCCGGGGGGGGGTTGCATTTAGATTTAGATTATAAGTGACAGGCGAAACCTTGTTTATTTGCAAGCTGAAATTAAAGTACGCAAAGTTTTTTTTTTTCCTAAACGATTGCATATTCCAGAGGTACTGTTAGTCCAGAGAATATTTAACTGTCTTCACATTTTTTGAGAGGAAATATTGTAGGCCTTTGATACTCAGTACTTAGTTTTCTAATTAAGTCTTTACATGTTAAAATCATTTTGGAAGGTTTTACGCAGATTAGCCTTTTATTATTTCTAAAATTGTGTTTTTTTTCCCTGACAGGTATATATGGATATATTTCGGCTAGACGCGTTTTGTTTGTTACGAAGATTTTTCAAATTAGAAGGACTTGCAAGAGGAACAATATGTTTGGTGCACATTTCAGCCTGTTGATGATGGAAAAAACTCGAGAGAGGACAGGATCGGATCCTGTGTCCAGAAGTGAAGATAGTAGCATTAAATTTGTCAAATGGTGAACTGAAGATCTTTTGGGGGGGAAAAAGATGTGTTTTGGGCGGAAATAATTTCTGTGGCAAGCTTGGCCGAACAATGGATAAAGCAGTTGCACTCACTTTTTCTGATATAATAGAGACTACTTCATTTGGAATGGAGGAAAAGTGTAAAGTTTTTGTAAATGGAGGGATGGTAGGATTACAATGAGGGGAACTCAACGCAGGACATACAGCGTAAGGAATTTAGTCGCCAAACTAGATTTGCCTCTAGACGTATGTTTTTGCAAGAGAATCGTGTCTTTGCAAAGCATATGTCATTTAGTTAAGAGGCGACTGAAAGAAATCGCTTTCCTAGTTGGAGGGTGGGGAAAGACATTATTTACAGTCTCTGTGAGGGGAAATTGGTGAATTAAAGGAAGAATAAAATCCTTATCAGGGCACCCAGGGCAGAGGGGAATCCTCGGAGGAGGGAGGGGGACACGAAGAAGCAAGAAAGATCTGGCCGCAGTGTGGAGAAAGCATGGGCTGCGCCTCCAGCATCCATATATCGGATAGGGTGGTGTATCACAGCGGAAAAGAGGCGGAGGATTCGCACCCACCGCCGCCGCCGCAGCAGCACAGTGCCGCCTTACAGGCGCGGCAGCAGAGAAACTCCGTCGTCGGCTCCTCCGCAAAAGCCGCCGCTGGTAAGGTGAGTGTCATCCTCTGCAGAGGCTCCCCGACCCCGATGCGCCCATCGTGCCGCGGATGGCTGCATCCTGAGCCCGCTTTATCCGAGAGGGCAAGGCGAAGTCCGGACGTAGTCGCTTCTCCGTCGCCTCTGGCCAAATCATCCGGTCTCCGGCGGATCTTGGAGGTGGATGTGATTTCACGCTTTCTTGGAAAGAGTGTCCTCCCTGGACGGTGCATGTGGGGAATAAGTTTTGTTGCTTGTGGCTGTACTTCAGCAGCGACATGGCAATAAGCCCAGCTGTGCGGCAGCCCTCTCCTCTCCACCTCCCCTCTCTTTGGGCTTCACGGACTCGTAGATCCTCACCTCATACAACCTGAAAACGGGAGTGTCATTACTTGCACTTTTGGAAGGGCGTCACTGGAAGCCGGAATGACCCGCAGAGACGGGATATGCCGTATGAAATGGCAAATGGTGGCCTTCGCTGTCATTATGCTGCTGCGTGCGATTTGCTTTTGTGTTGATGTGCTTCTCGCTGTTCATGGTAACTGCGAATGTGCCGTACTGTTCAATGGGGGTACTGGTCCAAGTGGGTCAGTCAGTGAGGAGTCTCATTGGTGTGAAGGGTTGTTTTGCTGTACAGGTAGGAAATCCTGTGTGCTAGATGTGCACTTTGTAAGACTGGCAGTGAAGATGTAAGCAGATATTATCTGTCCACACTGGAAGTATGGGACAGAGTTACTGGTTCCCTTCATTCTTGGCTACTGTTTTAAACCAGCCAGCGTTCACAATCTCCTGCCTGGTTTGTATGCAGAGTTGAGGCAGCCCTACATTAATTTAAGAAAAATCAGTCTCAATTGCGGTTTATATTCAGATACAGTCTTGAGACTGCATGCTAACTTGTGCTCCTTTAGGTCGTTGTCCAGTGCATGTTTCTCTTTATTCCCTGGGTAAGTTTCCCCCCTTGGGCAGGGTGAACACTAGCTGGTTCTGTTAGATCACAGCGAGTACAACCGACGCACTTTGTCATGGAGGGTGGACTGTCTGCTGTCCTGTTTGGCACATGTGGGAAGACGAGTCCCGAAACACACCCTCCTAATGTTTTTTTTGCCAATTTTATTCAGCTCAGTTTTCCATTTTCAACTTTGGTCCAGCAACCTGACTATTTTAAGCACAAAGAAGCGGTTAAATCTCTGTGGATCCACCCCTTAGACTTTCATAGTTTCTTTTTTTTTTTTTTTAATATTTGTTACATGCCCTGTTCCTCCTCTGGTTTTTTGCCAGTGGGTAATTTCCTGCTCGTTTAAGGATGTCGTGAAAAGCATGGGAACACACTGAAGGACCCAGCCTCTCCACAGTGCGCTGGAATAATGAGCCTTTAAGTGCTTTGTTGCCTGTGAAATGCGTTCATCACACACCTCGAATCCCAGGTAGTCAGACAGGGGGCCTGCACTTCACTGCAAGGCAGAATTGGTGTGTTTTGGCTGGGGGGCAAGTAAGAGGCCTCTGTGCTTCGGCTCAAAGACGCTTTAGAGATGGGGCCTCTTGTTTGGGATGGTGATCTCGGTTTGTGTCTTGGCCTTCCTGCTATGATATGTGCTTAGCTGGAGTTGCAGAGTAGGCCTGTAGGATCATGGCACGGGGGGGGGAGGGGGTGATTTGGTGAGAAATTGACCATGGCGGTCTCATCTCCTGGGATAGCGTCTCCCTGCGGGTCCCAGTTTTCCAGATCGCGATGGCGTTTCTATAAAACTGGAGTAAAAACGTCCCATAAATCAAATGTGAGCCAAACGGAGCAGGGCCACGCTGTTAGACCTTTTCGGCTTTTGCCAGATGTTTGCTTCAGCTCCAGGCCGCTGACAGTCTGAGATCACTGTTGCGTTGATCTCTTTCATATGCTGACATGCTGCAAGGTAAAAATATTTGCTTAATTCAGGCCCAGTGCAGCTGGATTGTATTTAATTTACTCCTTTTATAAACTTGCATGATACTGCTGGTCAGTCTTAAAATCGCTTCTGTAATATACCCATAAAAGGGAAACATCGAAATCTTCAGTTATTTACACTTGTTTTGCATGGAGCTGCTGTGCTCTGTGTCTGATGTGTCCTTGGGTGATGATGGAGAACTTAGGAGACACAACAATGGCACCGTTACCCTTTGCTAGGGTCTCTTGCTGCTGCATTTATCACAGCAGGCAACCTCTCGGCCCTTGTTAGACAGCTTATCAAATGAGAGCCTTCAGCTTTTAGGAACTTGTTGTCTCAGTCTCTTGTTGGCTGTTGCATTCTGATGGTAGTGATGGTTACTTCAGCCTGGCGGGTCTTGTGGGATTGGGTGGAACAGGAGGTGTGTTCAGCCTGGAAGATCTGATGAAGGACACCATCTGGGCAATGATAAGTACACAAGGTCTCTGTTGGCTACTTCTTATAAAGTAGAATCTTTCATGAGAGAATTCATAGTCTTGAAATTTTAATTGCATTACTGAGTGTGTCCAACAGGGCTGCTGCTAGGATCTAAACTTCTAAAAGCAATGTTTCCCAATCCAGTCCTTGGGGACCCGCAGACAGTCCGTTTTACTGGTAGCTGGGAGGGAGCAAAAATGTGGACTGTCTGTGGGTCCCTGGGGAATGGGTTGGGAAACACTGATCTAAAGACCTCTGGGGCTTAGCCCCAAGCCCCAATCTGAGGGTCTTCAAACTGACAGCATGGATGGATGGAGCCAAACAAATAATTCGGGGCTTGTTTGGATTTGTTTGGGCTTTCAGCTGCAGGTGCCCTAGGCTCGTGATTCGCCTGGTGTCCATCCCAGTTCAGACTCTCTCCTACAGGGGGAAGCACATTGTCCTTTGAGCATATAGTAAGAGACATGACACTTCTGTCTGCGGCAGGGGACCATACTGTGAAGCAGTGTTTCTCAACCTGGTTCTCAGGGGCCCGCAGACAGTCCACATTTTTGCTGGGAGCTGGGAGGGAGCAAAAACGTATACCAACTGCGGGCCCCTGAGGACCGGGTTGGGAAACACTGCTGTAAAGGGAATGGGTACGGTTGTCTCCTGGTGGGGAGAAAGGGGGGACAGAGCTCTGCAGGGGACAGACCCTTTAGATGTGTGAACTCCAGTGACTCGCTCTCTTTTTTTTTTTTTCTTCTTTTATCTTTAGCTTTTTAACCTTCACTAAGTTTTTGGCTATCAAGGTCACCAGAACTTTCTATTGGGTTTGTGTCCCTTATAGCTCTTTCTCTTCTCCTGTCTCCAGTCTTCTTTTGGCCACCGGGGCGATGTCTACAGGTCACAGTCTCAAGCCAAATGTGTAGTTGCCGGGGGGGGTTGCGCCTGGGAAATGCTCACTTCTGTATTCTAGGATCGTCGTGCGAGGAATTGTGATCATTTTCGCTGTTGTTACTTATGGCCTTCACCAGACACCCGTCCACACCCATCCTCCATCAGCTCATATCATCATTTATTGGTTCGATCTCCAGCTGAGGTAATGATATGAAAGTGGGGGCGCTGCTTGTTCTCGGGGCCGCAATGCTGGCAAGGAGCATTTTTTACTGGGCTGCCAGAGGCCACGCCCCTGAAACCCCTGGTAGCATCCAAGCTGAGCCGTTGCCCAGGACTTCTGGAGGGCAGCTGGGCAGAGGACAGAACTCCAAAGATTCCCCCCCCCC